AAAAAATCGAATGATATCAAATATAGCATGACGCCCCTCAGTAAACATCGGTAAAACATCAATATGCACCCGTTGACTTCTTCTATCTATGCTAATTCATGATCAAATAGTATTCCTTTTTGTATGGTTTCTGCGCCCTAAACTATTGACCAAGACACAACTAGGGGTCGCCTCATGATGTATTCTGATTATTTTGCAAATATTTATATTTATTTTAAAATATATTTTGCAAATATTTTTGCTTCATCGACTGGGCTTTTCGTGTTTTTTTTTTCAAAGACACATCTTGGCTCCGCGCCGTAGTTCGGATGTTTACATTATTTCACAAATGTTGAGATAATCCTGTGAGGGAACGAAAAAAGGATTGTACGGGGTAGGTAAACTACATTTTACAGCGGATGTTTTGTTTAATATAAAACTTTTCAAAAATGACAGGCTGCTGGGATTCAGGTGGAGTTATCAATCCAGAAATATTTTGACGGCCAGTACAGTACTTCTACAGACGTAGAAGTGGGTGGTGTCAATTGAAATGATTGAACATTTGAATTGAAAGACAGATCTTGTATTAAACAGAAATGGATCACAGCATCATGGCTTATATGGCGTTGTGGGAAATAAGAACCAAGCAATGTTAAAATGATCGCAATTTTTTCCATACATGCTTGTTTTTGAAACAAGGTTTTGACGCATCCATTTGACTGTCCAAGTTATTGGACTAAAACCTGATGGGTTTCTCCAATGTTTATGCGACAAGAAGGTGAAAAATGTAAATTTACTTTGTTCTTCAGTTTTGAGTTCAATTTTCTTTCAGGTTGATATTGATTTCTTTTATGAATTCCGTGAATCTTTTTTCAAATTTGTTAAATAAATTTTGCACTGCAATATTTTTTGAAAAATCAACTCCGAGTTTTTAATGGTCAATCCCTGTTAGAATATATATCGCCGCGCGTATCTATCTATCTAACGGGCAAAGCTGTTTAGGTGTCACGTGATACGTAATATCGAATATTCGTGGATCCTATTTGGCGAGCGTTTGTCACGTCTTCTACTGCTTGGTTAAATGCGTCTTTGCAACGAAATATTATTTAACTTTCCCTATGACAAAAAGGGGATAAAGGAGCGTATTCGCGTTTACATCAATAATACTCAAAAGCCTAGAGTTTGTGTTATGTGATATGTAAAATTTGTTATTGTCGTTTTTGTTGCGATGGTCGCGATATTCAATAAGATAATAATTATAATTCAATAAGATAATATTTGCTAGATGATGTGCAGGCATATTTTAATGTTTTTTCCATAGCTAAGCTATATGATCATAGCTTAGCACAATGAAAAGTATATACATAGTCGTTATATGACGCAATGTGGTTAAAAATACGTCATAAATAGAACAACTAAATTGTAAAAATTTAGGAAAATAATGTTAAAATCAATTTTAACACCGTATAGCCTTACAGAAATGTGACATTTGATTTTCAAATGTATCAATTCGATGTTTTATTTAATAGCATTTGCAGAGGAGTATACCACTGCAAGACGAATAGTTGAACAAGACACCGCCCGTGTATGACGTCAACAAACGAGAATATCATGCTGTAACTTTTTCCGAAATTACTATATGTCGTAATCTACGTCGAATACGGCAAGCACTTATGACGAAGCAGCCAGTGTGAATGGTTTTAACATTTTGAGCAGACAAAGAAATGTTTTTTATATGTATATTGTCAAAATTGATGAACATACCATGAAGGTAATACGAAATTCTAACTGTGATTACCTAAATGTAGCAAAAAACAAACACAGGATTCTCATATGTCAGATAGGTTATTGTGACATGCTCGGTAGATGAAAATCAATTGTACTGTGACTAGCTACGCAGGACAGTTCAGGTTTAACTGTTATTAAAAAACATACAAGACAGAATACCACGAATACAATAAATGTGTCCACGTTGTGATGGTTAACGTATATTAGATTACTTCTCCGCCTGAAATAGGTAGGACATGAAAAAATAACCGGTTTCTTTGAATTAATCCGCATACGATAGACTAATAAAATTGATGTGAAGCAATTACTTTAATAAGGCTATTCTGTTATTAGTGTCAATAGTTCCACGCTGACAAACTAACGAATAATTAGTTTCAAGTTACTTGTTAAAGCAAATTACAATTACTCTTTGTAAATATTTGTAGAGCGGAAAACAAATTTTGTTAGTGGGAATGTCATCACCTTCCTAGTAAACACATAGCAAAATAACAAGTTTATTTATTTGGACACCTAAAATAATAATACATTTGTATTTTATTCTTTTATTTATCAAAACAAATTTTCAAGGGCGAATACAAATTGCAGTAAATGTTTGTTCTAATTATATAATTTAGTGATAACATTTTCATTTAATTCACGCCCACAAACTAGAAGTTTAATGCGCTAGTTAAATGCACAAATTCATAGCAATTGAATTAACTACCATCTTCAAAGAAAGGTGAACTTAACATCTAGAAATAGACTATTTATCACAGCAAAAACACAATCCATACTGTGTCATGCACACATACTTGCATATTTACACTTACCTAACGATGCTTGCTTTTCGTACGACAGAAGACCAGAAATGTGGAACGAGTTGAGTGCGGGAAGGGTTACACAGAGATGCAGCGTACTCCTATTTAAAGGCCGCTATATGCAAAATTATGTGCCAAATTTCCTTAGAGTATTATTAGTACCAAATATCAATATCCTCTGTAAAGATGATTTACCTGTTTCATGTTAATAGCTGTTAATATCAATTAGTAGTAAAACATAGTTGACAGGAAATACAAACTTACCAAATGATGTTTATTAATGGAAATTCATGCAGTACTCATGCTAAAAGAACATTGTAATATTTAATATAGGCAACTAATTATTTGAATATCTACAATAACACATTACAGAACTAACAATAATTCTATCGAAACAAATTTAATCTTGTAGAAAATGTATTTAAAAAATTGTATTACAATATGACATTAACCGTACTGTCTTGGCGACATACATACATTAACATAAAACAATGCACAAATTATTAGTTCCAAATATTAATATCGTGTAGAAATGGTGATTACCTGTTGTATGATAATAGCTGTTTTTATTATTATTACTTTATCGAACCCGTTTTTTTTCTTGCAAAATACACATTTCCAAGTCGATTACAAATTGACAGGTTTATTCAAGATAACATTTTCACATGGGGTTATATGTCAGGCATTTGTTTGTGATAATCCATTCCCATCGTGATTTTGTTATGAATTAGTTGGAGTCTCCAAATTTAAGTCCATGTAAAATAATTATTCGCAGTCTAAGACGGCAAGCAATATAATAATTAACCTCATTAACCCCTCAAAAGAATATGCCATTTCTATTATATTCTCGTGCATTTTTGTCTTATTCCGATTTAATTAAAAATAATGTGTTATACGGAAACACATGCTGGTTACTATACAGCTGCCGAAAGATTATTTCAATTTATAGGCCATCGGACACCAGAACGATGATAGCTTTGAATTATTAAAATTGGCGATATAGATTGTATTCAACTTTTTAGATGATATCTGGAATGTGTAAGTGCATTTTCAGTTTATACAAAGGCTAGGAAGTTGGTGTGTTCGAGGTTTTGAAAAATAATTCACATTATATTAATTAAATACATTAATCAACGTACTAAAATTCACAAACTGACTGAGTTTTATTGGTTCCAATTATTAATATCCTGTTAATTTACTAGTTTTGTGTTACGAGCTGTTAAAACAAATTACTCTTTTTGAATATTAAACAGGAAACAGGAAAATTATCTAGATCAAATTTAAAAGAATATTTTATTACAC